CCCTTGACTTAGAGATCTCTCTCAAGCTAAGGTGCACAATGCCCTTGTAAGGGCCAGGGCCATCATTAAGGTAAGCACTAAGTTAGCCACCTTCAACTTAGGTTTTTAACCTTATTCGAAGTGCACAATGTCCCAAGGACTAAGGCCAATCTAGGATTTACTCTCATGGGGTATACAGTTACCTCCTCTTTTCACTCTTACCCAACAAACTAAACAATTCCACCCTATTTACTCTTTCCACTGTTTTCACTATTCCTCCTAATACAGTGCATTAAAGATTTGGGATCAGCTAACGATATCAATAAAAGGAATTCGGTTTCATTATGTGGGTTAGAACAAATCAAGACTAAAAAGGCTCAATTGGGCTATACTAGGGATATTATTTCTGAGAGGCTAAAATTTCCAGACAATTCAAAAAAGACCTATTATCATCTTCTAAACACAACAACACTTGTATTTCGCCTCAATAACAAACCGGGCAAGTTCTAGACTCAGATGCATTCAAAGATATTCCTAAAACTCACCACTCATGGCACAAGTCATATTCAGAATAGATCAATTACAACAATACAATCAGAGCATGCACAAGGTTCAAATTAAGCTTAAGTTACATCATTCAAGTCATATAAAAAAAAACTTCAACTGCATTCATATATCCATTTCAAACATGCTTTTCATACATAATCCTTTCAGAATTTCAGCTTCAACACAATCCAACCTAAGACTGAATGACGAAATTACCCTTAAGACGGTAGTCATCCATCTATCATTGGGCAACGTGACTCAACTACGATTACTGACTCAATCCTACAAAGACAAAATCTTTTTTGTAATTTGTACGGTTCAAATGGGCTATCCTTGGCCAAAGAACTGAAAACAACCTCCAAGGAACCCAAAATAAAACAAACTAAAGACAAAACAGAATCTAACAATGTTCAACAATAAAAATATATACATAGACCATATATGTTTTTCACCCCTCACCCCACACTTATACAATAGCACTGTCCCCAGTGTTGTACAAAATTTCAGAATAGTTCAAGAGATAAGGTGAAAACACTCACCGATCAGTCTTACATCACATCACCCCCCACGGCCTCATCACCGGCCTGATCTGGGTCTACCTCATCATCCGAGTCGGACTCCACATCTGAGATAGTGCGCACGTTCTCCTCATCGGTCGGAATATCATTATCGACCGGCTCACGAAACTCAAGACCAATGCCAAGTAGTGCCTTACCATGGTCATTCAGAGGGTAGAGCCTCGCAACCTCGCCCCACTGCATGTCAGTAGAAACCTCTCAGCCATTCTGATGGCGCAACATCTCTAAACCATACATCCTGGCCATAATCAACTCATCGCGTCGATGGCGCTAAACAGTGGTGAGAGTTGGGCCAAACTCAGTGTCAGGACCCTTTGTCCGAGTAATGTCCACCGACACTGGATATAAGGGTGCCATATAGTCCAAACTTTTTTCAGGGACACCTACAGCACGACACATCTGTGTAATCAAACCACAAAAAACATACCTGTGCCCTTTGTAAACCCGGGCCTTACGCATAGCAGATTTCACAATAGCTCCAATGTTCAGCTTTGTGCCGGTCATCAAGGCATATACTAAGCACACCCTATCACGAGTAATGTTGGTGTAGTGGAACCGCGGTATCAGACAATTCGTTACAACTTTCAACCAAATGCGCTTCTCCCGAAGCATGTAAGCGTAGAAAAGAGATTGGTGATATCTATTCCCACTATGCTTAGTCCATTGTACCATGGACTGTGGACCGCACAGAGTGTGTCGGATGGCCTGGTATGGAGGGCGTATGTTCAACCCTGTCAGAACAAGAGGGTCTGTGTCTTGCGGTGTACCCAATATATTATTTATACCTGTGGGAGTGATGGGTACATTCCTACCTCACACCGTCACATAATGGGATCGTGCCTTAGGCGCCCAGTTAGCGCAAAACTCTCGGACCATGTGCAAGTTGCACTCTGCTAGTTCAGCGAAGATGAACTCCATCCCTAGCTCCCTAATCCGCCTCAAGATCTATGGAAACCACGCGCCAGGTTGTCCCTATTAATACAAACATCAGAAAAGTAAGTGGCCTTGGTGTGTTTTTTATACCACACCTTCCCTTCCTTGGTTACAGTCTTAACCCCGAACCGCCTGGTTTGGCCTTTTGAAACTGCCGGTGTGGGTGGGACATTCCCACTTCGAACACGTTTCCTATGACTCGAAATATCCACTTCCTTTCCGGGTCTTTGTGAACTTGACATGATTACCTGCAAACATAACATAGTTCTACCCAAAAGACTACAGAACAATGATAAAAATATGAGTGGTGTGCGCACACCACCCCACACTTAGTTCAAAGTAATCAGAAGCTTAGGTACTCAGACTTCCCACAGGCGTACTGAACTACAGCACAGAAAAAAATATCAACCACTACCCCTTCCTAATGATACATACAATTATCGGTGCTACTCAAGAATTCATAACAACCAACAGATGCAACAAATTCAAACCTAATCAACACTCCATCACGATCAAAAAAACTTTCTACTCAGACTTTGAAATCCCACAAAAGTTACAAGAAGCAATTTATTTCATTCAAGCATATACCATTCGTGTTACTCAAGAATTTGAACTACCTCCTAACCAATGCAAAATTCCACCACTTTGAACCACATAACAAACCATTCCTCTGCTAGGCATATTCAAGAACTCCCAACTCACCCACAATTCTTTATACTCACAAGCACACATAAGTCAAGTAATTCTACTCAAAATTTTGAAATCACCTGATCACCTACATGAAACAGAACAGTTCCACCCAAAAGTAACACCTTATGCTTTAGAATAGCATGTTCATTCATTTCCCCAATTACCTCAGATCATGAACAAGCACAACGTACACCCAAAACAACAGATTACCCAGGCCCAATTCAAATAACAGTAGGTTGTTTCTACTTAAGACTTCGAAACACCTATATTAAATCGCCCATAGCATTCGACAAACATTAAATATATGACCAAAACCCCATAATAAAAGCAAACATCAACCCATAGCAGCACATACTCAAGCATGCCCAATATTGAATGAACAAAACAAAAATACATATCTGGCGCCGCGTAATTTCAGAAACAACGGAGGGGAGACGAATGGGTGTTGCTGCGCGATACGGAGGGAATGAGAGCAGTCGCACAAGCCAAGGGGAGGGAAAAATCGCGTGAAATTCGAGTGAAATGGGTTTGGGGGACAGATATTATGGGTAAGAATGGGATGGATTGGGTTATTTGCAAAGAAAAATGGGTAAAACCCGTTTACCTAATGAAAAGTAAAATTAGACTTACCTGGGTGCGATGCGGGGCTGGCACGGAATCCTAAAATTCCAGGTGAGGCCAATATTTGACCATTGCTCCGCGACGCGACTCCATTATAGAGCTGCCTTTTTCTTGTCGTAAAAGTAACTTACCATCGTAAAGAAAATTCCAGGCACCCTCCGCACCTCGCCAAGTACACGGACCCCTCTGCCTCATCCTGGAAAATTAAATCTAGGTGAGGCAAAATTTACCCCATCTCCGCGATGTGGCTCCTTCACGGAGATGCCTTGAATCAAAATTTCTGATTCCTGCACACATCAAGCTCAACACTTGTTAGTCAAAACATAATGGGTTGCCTCCCATCAAGCACCTTAGTTTCGGTCGTGGCACGACTCATTTTTTTGTATTTTCTCGATTTATCATTTTTTTTGTGGCTAATTCTTAAGAATTGAAATATCAAAACAAAAGTAAACAAATCCTAACTATTACAAGGGGTCATGGGTTGCCTCCCGTGTAGCGCCTGATTTAACGTCGCGGCACGACCTATCTCATGACTCATTCGTAATTTAAAGTGAGCACTTCAAGCTCATGATCCACATTATTTTCGAAATAGTGCTTTACCTTTTGTCCATTCACAAGGAAAGTAGAGCTCTTGTCCTTGTTCCTTAACTCTATTACACCATGTTGAGTCATCCTCACCACTTTAAAAGGACCACTCCAGTTAGACCGAAGATTTTCGGGGAATAACTTTAACCTTGAGTTGAACAACAACACTAATTGACCAGACTCAAAAGTGTGTGACACAATATGCTTGTCATGCCACCTCTTGGTCTTCTCTTGTACAACTTAGCGTTCTCATAGGCGTGAAGCCTGAACTCCTCTAATTCATGCATCTTTGTTATTCTCTTCCTACCAGCTAACTCAACATCCAGATTTAGCTTTTTGATCGCCTAATATGCCTTATGCTCCAATTCAGCTGGTAGGTGACAAGCTTTTCCGAACACCATTCGATAAGGAGAAGTCCATATTGGTGTCTTGTATGCAGTCCGGTATGCCCACAATGCATCATCTATCTTGTCATCCCAATCTTTTCTTTGGGCATTCACCGTCTTTTGGAGAATCTGCTTGACTTCTCTATTAAACATTTTCACCTGCCCACTAGTTTGGGGGTGATATGTTGTAGCCAACTTATGTCTCACCCCATATTTGGCTAACAAATTTTGCACTGAACTATTAATAAAATGCGTACCTCCATCACTAATCATAGCCCTTAGAGTTCAAAACCTGGTGAAGATGTGCTTTCAGATGAATTTCACTACCACCTTGAATCATTGGATGGAAATGCAATAGCCTCCACGCACTTTGACACGTAGTCCACTGCGACTAAGATGTTTTGATTACCGTGGGACGATGGGAATGGTCCTATAAAGTCTATCCCTTAGACATCAAAGATTTCCACTTCCAATATATTGCTCAAAGGCATCTCATGCCTTCTTGAAATGGTGCCCATCCTCTGACACTGATCACAACCCTTCACAAACATAGCAACATCTTTAAAAAGAGTAGGCCAAAAGAAGCTAGATTGACAACTCTCTAACTTTTATATTGCCTCCTCTTCAGTTATACACCTCGCATTATCTTATCAGGTCCCTACTTGAATAAGAAGGGCTCATCCTATATATAGAAGCATGCATCATACTTCAGCCTCTGTTTTCGATGTGTTGAGGCCCCAGGTGGAAATAAACCACTCACTAGAAAATTCACAATATCAGCATACCAAGGCACTTGAGCAAGGTCCAAAGAAAGCAATTGCTCGTCAAGAAGCTCTTCACGAATCTGCCCCTCATTTTTCACATGAGATGAATCCTTCAGTCTGGACAGATGATCAGTTATCTGATTCTCAGTTCCCTTCCCATCTCTTATCTATAGATCAAACTCTTGTAGTAGCAGAATCCATCTAATCAGCCTCAGCTTGGAATCCTTCTTGTTAAACAAATATCGAATTGCAGCATGATCATTGTAGACTATAACTTTGGTTCCCACCAAGTATGATCTGAACTTATCAAACGCGAACACTAATGTCAGCATCTCTTTCTCAGTAATAATATAATTTGATTGGGCTGCATCAAGTGTTTTGCTTGCATAGTAGACGGAATGAAACATCTTATCTTTCCGCTGTCCAAGCACTGCCCCAACTGCTATGTCACTGGCATTACACAAGCTCGAATGGAAGCTCCCAATTTGGAGCAACCAGAATAGGAGCTTCTATCAACTTTTTCTTTAGCAACTCAAATGCCTGCAAACACTTCTCATCAAACACAAATTTTATCTCTTTCTCTAACAGGTTGCACATGGGTCTTGCAGTCTTAGAGAAGTCCTTGATGAACCTCGTATAAAACCCAACATGTCCTAGTAAGCTTTTAATTCCCTTCACTGTGATGGGGGGTGGAAACTTCTCAATAACCTCTACTTTGGCTTTGTCAACTTCCAGCCCATTTTTGGAGATCTTATGTCCCAACACAATTCCCTCTCGAACCAGAAAGTGACACTTCTCCTAGTTTATCACCAGATTTGTCTCTTCACACCTAGCAAGAAATCTGTCAGGATTAGTCAAACAAAGTTCAAAAGACTCACCAAACACTGAGAAGTCGTCCATGAAAACTTCAACAAAATCCTCCACTATATCATGGAAGATTGCCATCTGCATCTCTGAAATGTGGCCGGGGCATTGCACAAGCCGAATGGCATGCGCTTAAACGCATATATGCCAAATGGACAAGTGAAGGTGGTCTTCTCCTGGTCCTCTGGTGCAATAACAATCTGATTGTACACTGAGTAGCCATTAAAAAAACAATAGTACTCCTGTCATGCCAACATATCCAACATTTGATCAATGAAAGGTACCGGATAATGGTCCTTTCTGGTGGCGTCGTTCAACTTTCTGTAGTCCATGCAAATCCGCCACCCAGTCACTATTCTTGTGGGGATTACCTCATTCTTCCCATTAGTCACCACCATCATTCCGGCCTTCTTAGGCACACACTGTACTGGACTTACCTATTTACTGTCTGATATTGGGTACACAATCCCTACATCCAACCACTTGATCACCTCTTTTCTTACAACATCCTTCATCAATGGGTTTAGTCTCCGCTAGTGTTGTGCACTCGACATATGCCCTTCCTCCACATATATTTTTATGCATGCACAAGGCGAGACTAATCCCATGGATGTCGGACATTTGCCAACCCAAAGTTGTTTTCCTCTTCTTTACGATGATTAATGTTGCTTCCACATGCGTATTAGATAATGCTACAGATAAAATAATAGATAAAGTTTTATCTTCACCCAAAAATGCATACCTGAGGTGAGCTGGCAATGTTTTTAATTCCAACTGAGGTGATTCTTCAATGGAGGGCTTGGGTGGAGGACCCAACACCCTATTCCAAGGCTCCCATTGATCTCTAGATATACCTACAAGTTCCACATCAAGAAATTGCACCATTTCCTGTGCCTCAGCATCCCCATAAATATCACCCCCTACTAACACTCGCTCTAAAGGGTCCTTAAATGCAATGTAGCGAACCTCTGCCTCAAGATCTATCACAGTTATGGTAGACAACTCCTCATACACAGCTGGCAACTTTAATGCTTTATACACGTCGAACGCCTCCACTTTATCATGTGCTCACATAGTCAGTTGCCCAGCTGCTACATCTATCATGGTTCGTCCAGTAGCTAAGAAAGGTCTTTCTAAGACGAATGAGACCTCAGGATCTGGCTAAAAATTTAGCACAACAAAATCTACTAGAAAATCAACGATCCCACTTGCACTAAAATATCCTCTACAACACCCTCAGGCCTAGCTACAGATCTATCAGCCAACTATAGGATGAAGGTAGTAGGTTTAGGACTACCCAACCCCAGTTTTTTGTATAGAGACGTTGGCATCAAATTTATACTAGCTCTTAGATCACATAATCCTCGCGCATATGAACCATAAAGCTGCCTGGATCTTTCAGTTTAATGGGCAACCTATTTTTGATCCTGGAGCTGCACTCTTCATTAAGTGCAACAGTTTCATATTCAGTCAGTCTCCTTTTATTTGCCACAATCTCCTTCACATATTTCGCATACCTGGGTATACCCTGCAAAACATCTACCAGTGGCAAGTTATTGTGAACTGATTTTAAAAGAGAAAGGAACTTACCAAAACATTCATCCTCCTTCTGTTTCTTGAACTTTTGAGGGAATGGAGGAGGTGGCTTCACTATTGGTTACACTCTTTCTTCTTGTGCAACAACTTTGCCTTCCTTGGGTTCACTTTCTCTATTCGCAATTTCAGTGTTCCTTTTCTTAGGAGCTAACTCCTACAATTGCAAACTACTACGACTACCTACCACGTTTACTTGCTTAGGATTTGGATTAGTATTTCCCAGCAAACCTCCTTGCGGTCGTGAGTTTTGGGGACTAGCAAACTGCCCGAATTGCTTCTCCAGATTCTGTGTAGCCAAGTGATTATTTCTAACATCAGCAGCTAACTGGTCTTGATCAGCCATGATCTTTTTCAGCATCTCGTCCATGCTCATGTTACCAGACTGCTTATTAGGCTACTCCCGTTGGGCCTGTGGTTGGTACCCATGTGCATTTCCTTGGGGTCTATACTGATTCTGACCTTGACCCTGATTTTGAATTCCACCCCAAGAAAAGTCCAGGTGGTTGCGCCAACTCGGGTTGTAAGAGTTTCCATAATTTTGCTAGCCTCCTCCTCGTTGGGCATTGCCTACAAAATTAACAAAGTTTGGGTTTGTACCACATACCTCTGCACTATGATCACCACATCCGCATATCTCACACCAAGATGGTGGTTGTTGAACTGCATTTACCTGCGCGGGATGTTGTCCCAATGCTAGATTACTGAAGTGGGTGTTCATCATATTCTGTATAGTAGCAATCTGTGCAGTTAAGAAAGTCACGACATCTACCTCTAGCATACCTGCAGTTTTCTGAATAACCGGTTTCACCCCTTATCCGTTCCGTTCGGGGTTTCCCTGTGAGATCCTGTCCAGCAAGGTGAATAGTTCAGCATATGTCTTCTCTAAAGCTTAACCACCTGCAGTTGAATCAAGTCGAATTTTGGTGTTAGGCTCCAATCCTTCATTGAAGGTATGGACCAACACCTCATTAGACTGATGATGATGTGGGCAGCTCATCGACATCGATTTAAACCTGTCCCAAGCTTGGTACAAGGTCTCTCCCCCTTTCTGTCTAAAGCTCAAAATATCACTCCTCAACCTAGCTATTTTTCCAGATGGTAAAAATATGATGAGGAACTTCTGTGCTAAATCATTCCAGGTGGTAATTAAGTTCGCGGGCTCTGAGTTTAACCATCTTTTTGCTTCCCCAAGCAGAGAAAAAGGAATAAAGTGAGCCTCACATAATCCACATTCACTCCAGCTGGAGTGTACGTATTACTGATATCGAGGAAATTCTGAATGTGAATTGTTGGATCCTCGTACGACAGACCATTGAACTACCCAGTAGTGTGCAATAGTTGCACCATACTCTGTTTCAATTCAAACCTTCCACCAGCTTTAGGTTTCTGAATGCAAGATGTCACATTGGTGGGATGTGGGATTGCCACGTCTCTTACTTTCAACTCAGCCATTATTATTTCAGGTTACTCTTGTTCAACTCTTGTTACTGGAGATGTTGGATCACTAGCAGCAAGAGGAACTGGGTACGTAAGTCGTCTTTGCCTTCTCCGATAGTGAACAAACCTTTCCGTCTTTGCCAGATTTGTCATCCAGTTTGAAATTTCAGAACAACCTACAACAATGAATTGCTAAGATCAAGTTGTTAACACTTGCTTTTTACCCTCAGAAATAAGAAAAATCAAATAATTTCTAATTCTAAAGTCCCCGACAGCAGGGTCAAAAATTTATTGCGTCCAAATCGCATATGCAAGTGCACGTGGTCGTTCAAGTATTAAAGTGGATCTTATAAAGATCCGGGTATCGTACCCACAGGGACTTATGCTTGGAATCACTCAATTTCTCTAACTTTCAACTAAGCACAAGTGTTACCAAGATTTCAAAAGTGATTTAATTTCTAATTCTAAGAATTCAACAAAATGTAACAAACACGATTCTATTTCAAAGGTTTAAAAACATTGATTGGGTAAAGTCCAGAGCTGCAGCTTTTATCAGGATTCATGCAATCAATATCATTTATATGGGTACTTATCAACTATAGAATCGATGAATCACAGGGCTAAATGTATGATCATGGTCTCCCGACCTCTAATCGCCTACGATAAATAACACCTTAACTACATCATTGAGCGGGGATAAGATGGATTAAGTACCGAGCATTACGATTTCTTCATGTATAGTGACCCAAACATGGTTTCTAGGTATATCCCTAGCCTAGATACAAATTAATCCTAGTTATTTAGAATTAATCATGCTCCTTATGTCCCACGTTCTATCCTCTTATTCCTCTCCCGAGTTCAATTTGGACAATGTATTTATTTCAATGGTGATCAGTCACGAAATACGAAAAGCAAGAACATAAGAAAGATTCATATGATAATTGACATTAACCCAATGAAAACTTATTAGATTACAATCATCCTGTGGCCACAACCCTAGAACTAGGGTATTTAGCTACTCATAATCCAAAATACGATCAAACAATGTTCAATAAACATAAAGAGATCGAAAGGAAAAAAGTTTAGGAAAGAACCCTAAAAATGGTGAAAATGTTCTCCCAAGTTGTCGTTCTTCAAAACCCAGAAAAAGAATTTCTTAATAAAATAAAATAACGACCTATTTATACTAAAAGTCAAAACGGCCAAAAACTGGGGCTTAGGAGCGCGACGCGGAGGCATCTTTAAATTCCCATCAGAGCATAATTTCACATCTTCGCGACGCGAGCACTTTACAGAGTGCTCTGCCTCGAAGTCGTTTCTTGCTAATTAATTTTTTAACCCTTTCCGAGTTGCGGAGACACATCTATACTTTGATGTGCGAGAAAATGCACCCCTCCACGACGTGGCTGCTACACGGAGGGCTCTGCTTCAATTCACCATTTCACAAGCCAAAACTAAAATTCATCTCCACGACACGGAGAAGATACGGAGATGCCTTGAATGGCATTTCTTCAAACTTCTTCCTTGCTTCTTTTTGACTCGGATCTTTTGTATTCCCCATTGTCCATTTTTGAGCTCGTTTATCCAATTAAGCTCACTTACACAACTAATCATGTTGGTTAGCTCATACACAACCAAAAGACTCGATAAGACTATAAACGTTACATATTGAATTCAAACTTAGCTTAAATATGGGCATTATTAGATTTATAGGCATATAATTATGCCTAAGATCAGCAAATGATCCTATAGTTATGTTGAAATGTGGCAACCGATCCAAGTTAGTTATGCCGGAATATGGCAATCGATCCAAGTTAGTTATGCCAAAATGTGGCAATCGATCCAAGTTAGTTATGCCGGAACGTGGCAACCGATCCCATTCACACACCACAATCACAATTACAAGTATATCATCAAGATCATACATTTAAGTCATGATTTCATGACATTCATCAATTCTCTATCTCATTACAACAAGTGTGATCAACATTACAACATAAACAAATACACCAGCATCATAATCAAGCAAGAACAAGCATACGTCACACAATCATAGAATCGCAACCATCACCTACTAATTATTCATCAAGATGCCTCATGCAAACCCTAATTTAGCCATACTCAGCCCTAATTCATCGTCTAAGGCTTCTTTTTAGGGTTTTGGAATCATGAATCATTTGGTGCATGAATGTTTCCACACAAATCCTACCATTGATTTACATATATTACACGGTGAGCACAAATTTAAACTACTCAATTCATAAAACCTAGCCTACCTGGGCGCTAAGCAGTTGCACGGAGGTTTGACTTCGATTTTGGTTTTTCGGGATTTGGAACGGTAGATTTGGCCAAGAATCTGTAAGAT